ATCCTCATCCCAGTGGGACGAGAGCCCAGCATCTCTTGGGACAAACAAAATATATTGTTTACGATTATTTGAATTCTGTTGCCAAATTATACTTTTTAGCCAGCTTTGTACTGGATGAGGCATTAGTCCAATTCATCAAATAAAGTCTAAAGATTAAATTTAGTCATGAGATCCATCACCAGAATCTGAATATTAAAGAGCCCTTTTTGTCTGCATGGTGAACTTTTTAATGAACCATAAAATGTGTTTTTTGTATTTCTACCAATGTTGAGTGGAGCCTTAACCTTGGTCATTCAAGCCAGTGTTCGCCTCATTCGCTTCAAACTTGTGCAGGAAAGGAACCCTGATGATTTTTGTTAATGAGTCTCAAGGCTTTAAGCAATAAGAAATAGGACACTAATAACCTCTTTTTGCACCTAAATTATTCAATAACTGCATGGGCTCAGGAACACATTTGTTGTTGTGTATCACTATAGTTATTCAAGTAACAAATGCAAAGTGCATGCATAGATGTAGCTTTCAAGTACTTTACAAGGTAACGTAGAGCAAGCCTACAGTAAACAGTAAAAATAATCCCAGATTTACTTAAGGCCATAACACAGCACCTTTAAGTGTCCATACTATACAAATTCTTAAATTGAATAGAGCAATACACACTGGTTTTGTTAACACTCAACATTTAGTACAAGTGACATGAAAGTGAAGCTGAAGCTGCTTTTTCTCCGTTGGGCAGTTTCTAAGACAAACAAGTAACTGGCTGTTTACATTGAATGCAGCTTTGTTCTTCTGCACACAGCAGTACACTTCTCTATCGTCCCATCGGGACCTTTTCTAAAAAAAAAATCAATTCCCAACAGGCCGAATGAAGCATTTTCATCGGTCGCCGTTGTGAGTGGGTGTGCGTCAGATCTACGGTTGTACAAGAAACACTCATTAGAAAGGTTCCGGGGGAAATGTGCTTCATTGTGCTAAAGAAAATAGCATGTTACATTTTTCAGTTAATCAAAATGAATGAGTTAAAAATCCAAGTAATAACACACAAAGTCTATTGACGATATGATACAAAGACCTTTCCATATTACTCTGCAGGAGGTGCACAGCCACACATTTAAATGCTTACAGGAGCAACATAACTGCGGTTGTATGATAAATGTAATATTGAGCACTGTCATCTCAGTGAAGAACATCCAGGAACTTCTCCAAAGCTGCTATAAAACATGTGCATATTAATCTTGACATTGCCGTGACAGTACTTCTGGCTTCAGAGATATGTAATTGGTTTGCAACAACACACCACTCGTCTATCGTCAATGCCAAAGAAAAACGAAATGGCTTTAGAAAAAAAGTGTGTACACAACTTCAATACAGCTGAAGGGAGAAAGGTTGATCAGTCTAGACTTTATGTTTATATCACTGAGAGGAATGAGTCAGATCACTTAGAAAACTAATTTCCTAATCCTCCATGCTGTATCATTTAATACACCAAAAAATATGGAAAGCAGAATTTGGGTGGTTTAAGAATGAGTGACTCTTAGCCGCACTTGTGTTTTCCGAATCGCCGTGTGTCAGCTCCTGCTCTCGTCACACTTTTTGACAGTTCAATTAGTCCGGACCAATTGATGCACTCTGTGTCCCTCGGGGTCCCATAATCACCAGTGTTTTGCTTTGAAGCACTCACATTGTGCAGGAGATGAGAGCAAAACCGGCAGAGGCTACGACGTTGGAAAATGCAAACTTATTATCCAGTACAGTAGACCCAAGCCCCGGCGATCCAAGATGGCGCCCTATTCAGATGAATGGTTGTGCTCAGTGGCGCTTTGTGACGGCATGGGGGCTGAAAAGATTAGCGGAAGTTGCCTGAAACTTGCAAAGATCTATGGGAAACTCGCCTGTATTTGGGCATCGTCTGGTCCTCCCGGTTCTGCGCAGTGGATGATCTCCCATAATGCGTTGCGCCAAACACGCGTGTGTGGGTCTCACACCGGGTCTCACGCACGTGCACAGAGGGGCTCGGCCGCGCTCTGACCAATCAGAGCAGTTCATCAGAGCGGGAGTTAGAGCGAGAGCCAGACGAGCAGAGTTTGTGGCAGTAAAGTGTGGATTTAAACAAAAACGAAGCATTTAAGAAGAAAAAAGGTTCAGGATGACAAGGGACACTAAAATCCCCACAAAATCCGATCTTTATTAAAGCTGTAGGTTCTCTGTCAGCTGAGGTTGAGCTGTTTTAATATGTATTGAGTTCTATGGGGAAAATTTCTGGGTAGCCCACGTGAATTTAGTCTGGTTCAGTCTGCAGTACCGCAAGAATCCCCTGAGCACATGGGTTATTCAGCTACAAGCTAGTAATACCCTATCCAGTTAATATAATAGATCCATGAGTAGACCCCACAGTGAAATTAGTTTCGACTCCCATTAGGCCTATTTTTTTTTTCTACTTAATTGCTTATATGATGGAGTACCCGACTGTTTTTGTTTCATACATACTTTTTCCAGAACGAGTCTTGTTTGTGAACAAATCTGAAGACAAAAATCAGATTAGATTTATTTGCTGTTTTCAGTTAAAAACCACATTGGAATATCTGCACAGAGATACTCAGTGTGCATAACAGACTTATGGCAACAAGGAAAACAATTTACAATGTGAACAAAGATTTTAAAAACTAGCACATTCTAAAATTGGTAAATAAAGGAGATTTAGAAACAACATGGTGTCTGTACCTTACTAGCGGTGTGTAAAATAAAATTATAAAGAAATCTGCATAGCTATGTAGCTCCCCAGTTTTTTTTACAGACCACAAAAAAAAAAGTGACGTTTCGGGCTAAGGGTCTGATGAAGGGCTTCATTTTATGTTATGTTTTGGGCTCCTTTTTTTTAATCTATGTTTAGGCTACTGAGCTACTGTTCAGGGCGACAGTAGCTCAGTTGGTAGAGCATTGGCCTTTGAGCCAGAGGGTTGTGGGTTCGAACCCGACTCTCACCATCGACTCCCACTGTCTGCTGTCGTTGTGTCCTTGGCAAGACACTTAACCTCTGGGAACACCAGCCACAGTGGGGCGGCTGCGGCTGTAAAGTGCCTTAGGCAAGACACTTCACCCCCACTGCCTAGAATGAGTATGGTGTGTGTGAATGGTTGGTGGTGGTCGGAGGGGCCGATGGCACAGACTGGTTGCCTCGCTCCTGTCAGTGTGCCCCAGGGCAGCTGTGGCTACAGTAGTAGTTTATCACCACCATGTATGGAGTGAAAGAATGACACATGTAAAGCGTCTTTGAGTGTCAAAAAAAGCGCTATATAAAACCTATGCATTATTATTATTATTATTAATACTGTATTATATGCAGCCTTTTTCGAAACCTTCTTGTACCTCCTGTAACTCCTTTTTTAGATTGAAACGATTGGATATGAGTTTACTGTGACGCATGTAAATGCGCCACAGTGAGTCTCTAGCATTTAGCATTTAGCCTAGGCATCTCCTTTGTCACTAAAGGAGCCCGTGGGGAGTAGAGCCACGACATCTTTGCCAGCAATGACATTTGCTAAACATGCCTCTTAATCTGGCTTCAATTACTTGCGAATCAGAACGGATCCCTTTACTATCGCATTCGCAGCCATTGCCAAACTACAACCAGCAAATTTGGCGCAAACTCCTGACGTCACCGACAACTAGCTCGCTAATTGGTCGGATGGGATACAACCGAGGTAACTGCGGCTACTGGGACCAGACCCAGACTTTCATATAGGGAAATAATAATTGACTGGAGTTTACGGATGGCTAGGCTAGCTGAGTTAGGGTTGGCACTCTCTTATTCACTGAAAAATGATACATGTGAAAACCTGTGATAGAACTGTTCTGATCTAGCTTTTATTTTATATTTTGTTATTTAAACTTTGTCCAATTTTAACAAAGTACCTCTTTTTTGTATGGGCAGAATAGCTGGATGCATTTGATGTCTGTGCCGAGAGAGACATAACAACCAAATCAAGTTTGGATTTTCCAGTGGACAAGTATTTATTTTTTGATTAAGGCCTAACTCACATCTATAACTGTTTTCCCTTTTGAATTGAGGAACAAAGTATTTGCAATCAAAATACGAACAATTGAGACCAGAGGGATAGAGCATTTACAAACTATCGTCCATTGTCCTTCTTTTTCAAAGTCATTGAAACGGCTTTGAAGATCCAGGAGTTTTAATTAGCGGTTCCTCATTAGATCTTGTATAGACATGTGCACTCGAACATGAAAATAGCAGGTATCCGACTGAGTGAACACTTTGTCCCCTTGTGAACGCCTTCACCGGTGGCCGAGGTACCTAATTGTGGATTGGTTTTCTCTAAGCAGCCATTTTGTGTCAAGAGCTTTTTTCTTCCATCTGAAAAATGAGTCGACAGACAGACACTGAAGGCGTTTGAAGTCGTCAGAAGTTCCTTACCTTGATCTACATGCAGTGAGCGTCCTCTGAATGCTACTGCCGCATAGTAACTTTCTGATTTCAGTCTTTGCTTTTGTTTGATGTTCCAAATGTGTCAGCGCGGAGGGAAGAAAATAAACTGCAGCGGTTTATTTTATTTACTTTGTTCTTTTTGCATCAGCTTTAAATTGTAATACGCAAGTCATGTTTGAAGTACAACCTCACATGAAGGGGCTGCGGTGATTGGTCAGAGCGAGGTGACAGTTTTAGCAAATTCTATTGACAGACGTTGCAGAGCGGCAATTAATTTTCTTAATGGGCAAAATGTGGGTGTTTTCTTTCTTGTTGTCTAATGGCGCGATGAAAAGTTGTCCTTGTAAACATTTTTATGAGGAGGAGAGGGGAATTCATGCTTCTCGTACCTTTGTTGTTTAAAAGACCCATATGGATTGTGAATCAGGTAGTGCGTTCAAAGCATTAGCCATGCATAAAAGAGATGTTAGCGCCGTGATATTAGCCCAAGGCTGCAGCTCAGAAGTTCTGCGGTAATTGCCCACCTTTGCCACCCCTCTTCGTGTGGCCTCATTTACATATGGAACCTTTATACGGCACAATCACAGGTGCAGGACTTAATAAGCACAGAGAGGGAAAGGGAGGCAAGGCACAATATGGAACGGAAACGGGATATGATGCACACATGTGGTTTCTCATTTGATTATTTTTATAATCAGACTGATATTCAACAACTGGATAAAAATACATGAAGCAATGTTAATATTTGTGCATAATAATTTCTTAAATATACATATATCTGTTTTGAAGATAATGTTTGGTGCAGATTAGAGGTGCAACGGTTCATCACTGATCCGTGATCCGTTCGGTTCAACGTCTTCGGTTCGGTACAGACGTGATCCGCGGTTTGATTTATGAAAAAAAAGTTGTGCGCACGTTGTTCAGTCCACACACAGCGCGGTCATTGCGAGCGGAGGAACGGAGATGCTTGAAAGCCCCGCGTCATTTAAATCCCCAGTATGAGAGCATTTTGGCTTCACTGTAACTACACTGATAATTAATATTCGACAAAACTGTCACGATGTGTAAGCACTGTGGCACAAGAAAGACATGAGTGAAAAAAGCGTCTCAACGACCGCCTATTGTCGCGGCATTTAAGCAGCTCCTTTACGCACAGTCAGACCGTGCTAAAGTCAACTCTCCCGCGCATCCTCAACTGCGCTCACGATTGACACTTGGACGTCCCGCGGAACCTATAATAGATCCATGAGCGGAACCGCTCACTTCATCACCGCAGACTGGGAGATGAAAAGTCTGGCGCTGAAGACACGCCCCCTCTACGACAGTCACACTCTCACACAGCGCAGGTACTGACACAAGCAGCGGAGGAATGGAAGACAAAGGCCCAGTACTAATATCCCAGTCACAACTGATAATGCAAAAAATTAAACAAATGCAGTGAATGAGGCTGGGCCCAGAATGGAGCGCCTCCTCGGGAGAAACAGGAAGGTGGTGTAATATATGAGGGTAAATATCCTCATAAAGTGCCTTATGTTGCACTTTGTGTTGTTTTCCATTAATTATGTTAAATAGACATAATTGGATGGATGGAATATGCCTTCCATCCATCCATCCATTTCCTTCCCCTTAATTCATTTCTAGGTCAGGGGGGGCAGTCAGAGCAGGAGCCGAGTCCACATGAGCTGTGTTTATTAAAAAAACAAAACTTTTTTTTTGAAAAATGAACCGAAAAATGAACCGAACCGTGGCCTCTGAACCGAGGTACGAACCGAACCGTGATTTTTTCAAACCGTTGCACCCCTAGTGCAGATGAATTGTAATTGTTCAAATGTTACTATCGTAGTGTTACACATGTCTGAAATAATACTTCTGATTTTGTAACATATAGTGACCTCGACCAATAATCTGATAGTTTACAGAAATCATTTTGTTCAGTGTGACTACATAGGATCCGTGCCCTGCAGTGGTATGCAGCCCACAGAAGCGTATGTTAAGACAATGCCTTAAAGCACTCTGGTGAAAGAGAGAAAAGAGAAGGATCTCTCCTAACATCATCTGTGTTGCCTTTGTTGCTTCATGTTCTTGTTTATTTCAGTATCTGACAAAAGATTGTATATATTTGGGATCACAGGCCTTAACATTTTCTGAAAGACGACACACTGATCAGTGTTTGCAAAGGTGCGAGTTTGGGCTGCAGAAACGCAGTCATGTGCCCTGTTATACAATGTTTTATATTTTTTTGCTGAAGCATGAATCACTTGCTTTCTGGTCAAGATAGGTGCAGGTTTTGCACACATTAATATGGTTGGCATTAAACCACTGAAGTCTAAAGCAGGTGATATACTGAATAAATCCTCCCTAAAGGAGATTTTAGCTCTACACTATGTATTAAATCAGGCTCTTGTCGGTGCCTTGAATCCTGATCTCCTCTCTCTCTCCCTGTCACCCTCTTCTGCTGGATGCAGCGGTGCACCTGTTGGGTCTGACCTGGCACCTGCGTCACGGAGAGAACCATCTGTACGAGAACGGCCTGAGCTCAGCTGACCATCAGATGGACGAGCGCGGAAAAGCTCGTCCCACCAGCTCCATCCACCTGCTGGACACACTCAACCCCGATAACACACACGCCGGAGACAGAGGTGAGCACAGGCTTCCACTGCATGACACTAAATGTGCAGTATTCATTTTAGATGTATGTATTGGTGTGATGAGGGTAATAGCCATGCAAGTATAGCATTCAACACTCAAAATTGTTTTTCATAAATGTTCTCAAGCATGTGTCAAATGTATTGTATGTTGTTGCAAAAGTAATTATGCGAAGAACCTTTAAGGGTTTATTTATCTGCATTTATTCTCACTGTATTTTTTGTGTTTGCGTTAGTGCAATGCCTCCATGCAAAAGAGGAGAATGTCAGCTCTCCCTGCACCCCCTGTTCCTGTCAGAGACGCTTGCTCGGTTCAGAGATCAGCTTCCAAACTGATTACTCATTTATTGGAAAGCTTTGGTAATTGGTTAATCATGTTCCCTCTTTAGCTGCTACGTGACCAGAATAGGCTTTTACCTGTTCTCGCCTCACGCTCGGCCAGAGGAATTACTAACACCAATTTAACCCTATGAAACAGAACATTAATTGTAAGTGTTCAGGTCGTGAAGTCAGGCAGGACATAGCCACCTTCACGCTATGGACTGCGTGTGATGGGATATTACATTAGATCAACCCGCTGCACGCACAAGCTTTTAACCCAAAATATGCAAGGTTGCTTTTTAGCTCAACCTGGCACATCCCTAAAGCTACTGTTTTGATGAATCCTCATATTTCCTGGATTACCACTCAGTAAACCCTTCACAGAGCAGACGGAAGTCAAAATGTACTTCAGAGACAAAGAAGAAACCACAAGGAAATTACAGGATTTAGGATTCAGTCATACAGACCTTATACATGCCGTTAGCATAAAAATGTCAACGTTTTGAGTAAAAATGGTTTGGCTTTTACCCGGTGTGGTCCATCAGTAGCTCTCTATGGACTTTTTTGTGGTTCTTTTGAAAGACAAGTTAATATATTACCTTGTGTTTAACATGTTTTGGCTGCTGCTGCGAGCCATCTACAAAACTGTCTCTTGCCATTGAGAATCAGATCTCAATGGAGATGTTCTTTCTTTACCTTGAAAGCTCTCCTTGGACATTTTGTTTGTTTTTGTACAATTGGAAGGTGTTATGGGCATTAGTCCTGTACACATGAGGTACACATGAGGTCATCATCATCAAGTTGTTGTTTAGAAAATCATATGAAAAAGATTGGAGATTTGTTCAATATATAAATGAGAAATGTATTTAGTAGTATTTAGTAGCATGTTACTGGCAACTGGCAGCATAGTGACTTCTTGGCATCTTGCAACTTAGTAGAAGATAGCTCAGAAATGAAGGTCACAAAATAAATATATTGAAATAATACCACTCTACATACAGTTTATGCATATTTGAACCCACAAAATCTCAGATAATAAGTATTTTACTAAATAAAACGATGAAATACAAGACTTATGTTAAAAACAAGATTCCTCCTGAACAACTATTCAACCTCCCCATCATCCTCCATTTGGGAAACGCTGAACACAAATCCTCAATAAAATCTGGGAAATCAAAATGGACAAGCTCTAAGCTGCTGTTGCACGAGACTGGGATTAATAAAATTGGCACGTGGAGTCGGTGCTTGTTGGTTTGTTTCCCCAGCGTACAGCCAGAACCAAGGCTGACCGGGAGATATTAGAGATTAGACCTTAATCCAGTGTGTCAGATTATCACGCTCATCCTGCCGTATACCCATCACCTCTCACACCCAGAGACCAGCGAATCCCCGAGATTACTGTGTGAAGAATGGAGCGGGGGGCCTGCAGGGAAGACGTGGGATCACATCATGACACGGTTAACGGGGAACGATGGGCAGAGCGTCCCACCGGGAGCAGCCGCCTGATTGATGGATGTTCCCCGAGATTCAGATATCTGCTATAGACGTTAAAGTGGTAGAATCGGCTGAATAATGATGCCAATAAAAATAACATTTCCCAGCGCAGACCGTTTCTGGGTTCACATAATGTGCCTGGTAAATGGGGCTTTTCGCGGCTTTTTTTTCTTAGGTCTGAGTTAATGCCCTATTTATCAAGCAATATGGACAGCAAAAACAGAGAAAATACAATAGGAAGTTGTCACAGTAGTGCCACCTGAGTTTGATATTAATGATGGATTCATATACTGCAATATGTTTTTTACTTTTTTATGTATTTATTATTTTGACTATTTTTTCTTTTTACTGTTTTTGCTAGTACCGCTTTTACTTGAGTGCTTAGAAAGGCGCCATTATTATGATTATTGTAATTTCACTACACTTAAGGAGAGGTCTTTTGAATGTATTGAAATCAACAAGAAAAACATAAAGCTTATTTTTTGCCTGTAAATCTCAACAAAATAGGCCTATAATAAATTAGTATTGCTGAATTTACAAACTTGTAAAGTCGCTTTACTTTCCAATTAATTTTGTTTTAATTGAGGTGCATACATTTAACGCTCTATCCTCCTCTAAATGTGTGTGAGATTCTTGTTTCTATTATGATAGTTGTTTTGTCCGATACTCCAGGATTTTATTCACTGGCACATAGTAGACATAGACCAAGATCACAACAAAACTAAATCATTTTCAGAGACGCAATTGATAGATGTTTGTCAAGATTGTGGGACGCAGCCCAGAGATTAACGCCATAAAGGTTGAATAATCGCACCAATAAAAAAACATTTCCCGGAACAACCTATTAGACGTTTGACGAGTGGGAACATGTCCCCTTATTAAATGGTTTTATTTTGATGCATCACAATAAAGCTAACAGTGGGAGATAAAGCAGAGGCTGATTGGACGATGGTTATCTTCTTTGATTTGAAAACATGGTTCAGCAGGGAGACATGAGGCCGACCTACCAGTCTGATTGGAAGCCGGTATTAATCGAGTCTGCTTTTGTTGTGTTGTTTTATAACCCTGCTGTAAACATATTTTTTGAAGTTATGCTCCGTCTAAAGAAAAAGTAACCCGAGGAAACAGAGAATTCTTCAAGCCTTTATGCGTTGAAGTAGAGAAGAGATTTGCCACTTTGACACCAAAAAAACAATGATTATATTGTCCTGTTTCATCTCAGGATATTTATTTTGGCATTCCGAGTTGTATATGATGTGAGGGTCTTTTGATAGTAGTATTCATAAATCCAAAAAGGCTCAGACGTCCTCAGCAAGGTACATTTTATGAGGTCTTCAAAAGGAATCTCAAGGCCACCTTAGCAATCGCTCAGCATATAGTAGCAGAGGCTCCAGCCCGAGCTCCTCCTGTATCCTGACAGAATCTCTATGAGCAGATGGATATATTTGTATAATGGAGTGAGAGATGACCATCGTGAGGATTGGTTTTCACATTGAAATCACAGCTTTTAGACAGAAGGGGTGTGAAGAATTTTGTTTTATTTTTTTTAAGTTCCTCATTAGCATGGATGGAGCTAAAAAGTATATTGCAGGTATGTTTTGAAATGACAGAACAAAGTTAAATCAAACCCTGAACATTATTTACACACTGCCTTGCTCTCCCTCTCTTACCACCATCACATCTTGCTAAAAAAGCTAACCAACTAATCGTCCTAACTTTATGATAGCTGCAGAATCATATTTGATAGCTCTGAGCCAAACATGAAACACTAATTGACATCTAGTGGCTCGTCTGAAATCGTTTTATGCCATCTTCCCAGAAGATCACCAAGCTCTGCTCCAAGTCCTTTCTACATAAAAGACACTCTAATTAGAGCTACAGTAATGGTAATCAACCTTAGGCGAGCAGAAGCGTTCCTCTGTTTCATAATATGACGTTAATGCCAACACACACACTCAGCCACCAACCATGGACCACATGAAAGGAGGAAATGTCAGTGGATTCCCTGTTTTAATGAAGTTTTCAGAGTTTGCTAATCATCTTTCTTCTCTGCGTGGAAGAGTGTATAAATGACAGTGATTTAGCGCTGTATTTCACGTTAATAAGCGGAGAAGCACTGTGCAAAAGAGGTGACAAGTGTTGCAGAATGCTTCAAGTTAATTCTTCAAACACATGAGGATTCCTGTTGTTTTTTTCTGTTTGCAGAACTGGCCTTTGCATATGTACAGAAATACAAATATGTGGTGTGTTTTTTTCTTGCATACTGTCACCTTTCAATGTTGAGCAAGTTTTAAAAATAGAACATGGATGAACTGTTGCTTGCATATGATGTGTGGACCAATAAGTGTAAGTGTACTTTTTAATATAAGGTTACAATTTGTCCCATTTCTTCTTCAGTGGAGTCTCTTTTAGTCTCAGTCATTTGCATAAAAAAATATGTCTTTAGTTTTTGTCCATTGATCCACATCAACCCCAGTTCTTTGTTATTGTTTTTATTTGTATTATTATTATTATTTTATCTACCAATTACTTAATTTTAAACATTTATCTACCCCCTTGATGAATGGTGTCCTTCAACAAAAAAGCTGTCTTAGCTAAACGTGTGCACTTTTTTGTCTGACGTTATAAACTTCTCTCTATGGGGATCAATGAAGTGTCGATATATCTAGTGTACTCTATATAAGAGGATTGGAATTATTGTAGATTACACATATAAACTTCAATAATACGTTTTTTATTCCAAAATCTCGTTGGTCTTTCCTGTACCTCTGTTATTATTAATAATATAGAAAAGCATTGAAGCAGTAATTTATGTATTTTGAATGCTTGGTACTACCACAATGGCTACTATATTGTTCCTTGTCGAGAGCTAAGTGGTTCTAACTACTGTTGTGATTTTGTGATTTAGGGCTATGCAAAAATAAATTGAATCCTATCACAATAAAAAGAACCATCACATCCAGTTAAACCATTGAAAAAGCGCAGGATATTGGGTCAGCTTTGTCATTTGCTGAGGGTACGAGATATAACAGTGCAGAGATTCCCTTTGGTTGAATGGACAAGATTAGAAATTATTATATATTTGGTTTAGCCATGGACAAGATAAAGCGGGGAAATGTCAGTGGATTCCCCATTTTAATGAGCTACTTTGGTGAATAATCCCCTTCTGCACGCTGAAG